CCCAATAACGTTGTCGTGATATACACCAATATGGACGTTGTGAAGTCATAGATAAAAAACTTTTTCCAGCACCTTCAGGAAATATTTTTACATCTTCTAATATATATTTACGTGCATTATCACGTAAACGTGTTGTATCAATAAACCATTGTTGACTACCTAAGATTAATACAGGTTTTTTTGCTCGCCAATCATATGGATATGAATGTATTAATTCATAATGATATAAAATATCTGAATTTAAATATTTAAGCATTGCTTCAATACCATCATTTTTATCTAATGCATTGCGACCATGAAGAAATTCAATAGATGGACAATTTAAATGACCAGTTAAATTAACAGCATTAACACATTGAAGATTATGTTTTATTGATAAAAGAAAATCATCAGAACCATGTGCAGGTGCAATATGAACAAGACCAGTACCTATTGCATCACTAACATGATCACTAATAATAATTGGATAATTTGTTTGATCATTATAAATTGGATGTTTGTAAGTGAGACCGCATAATTGAGATCCTGAATATATGAAAATTTATTTTCAAAGATCAAAATCATTATCTTTTTCTTACCAAGACAATTTCCTATGATTTCATATTGATTATTAGAAAATGGTGAAAATTTGTTTATGTTATTTAATAATGATTCAGCAACAATATATATATCATTTGAAGTGAAAAGTTTTAGAAATAGATATTTTAATTTTTCATTAACAGCTACAGCTTGATTACCGAGCAAAGACCAAGGCGTTGTTGTCCAAATTAAAGCATAAATATTTCCTAGATTAGTTTCTTAAGAAAAAAGAACAACAAAGAAAATTTGAAGAAATATTCGAAATGAAATTTCTTACGAGGTAAAAGCTTTGATATCAAATCATTGTTTTTTAAACGAAATCGGACATAAATAGCAGTACTAAAAATCGAATAAATCATGAAATCATTGACTTCAATGAATAATAAAAATAGATTACGTCTAAATTTACAAGACTGATTTCTAAAAAGAGTTCGGATCCTCAGATTATTACTACACAAATATTGCATTTTCACCGTATTTTTTAACTCAATGCCATGGTCCGCTTTGGGAAACACGAAGAAAACTAATTTTTGAAATTTGACTTGAAAATTTTTCTAGAGAAAGATTTCACTGAAAATACTTAAATGTAAAATTTTCAGATTTTTACGTTGGTTCTATCCTAAAATATGGCTATGGTGAAAGCGTGTTTTAAACGTCGCTTCTATATAATGATAAATTCGATGTTCGTCTTTCCGAATTGTAGCACATTAAATGACTTGAGACTTTCAAAATAAAGAAATCTCATTAAAGTTTGTCTCTGTACAAAGTTTCAAGTCGATATTAACACATTATTTTTTTTCTTGTGCTCTTGAAGGGAAGACACGACATTCCAAGAGAATCTATAGTAAGAATGTGGTATCTTGACAACAATAAACTAATGATTAGAACTCTTTTCAGAATATTCATAGATGGTGAGGATCTACATGATGCATATAGTTTCGACTCAAAAGTGATTAATTAATTGGTGTATTTCATTTGTTAGTCATCATCCCGTCTGTAATTAGATACAAGAAACTATACTGATATAAACAAATTTTTATTAACCAGATGATTTTTTATGCATTATTTTCAGCTTATGCATCTCTTCACTTGTATATGTCTTTCATGTATTTAAGTTATAATCTTTATTAAGAATTGTATTTTATTTCATAAATTGACACACCAAAAAAAAGTTTATTTTTAAATACCTTTTATGTTTATCATTATATTCTAATTCAGATTCAGCCAAAGCAGATTGAACAGTTGGTGACCAATTGACTGGTTTATATTGTCTATAGAGTAAACCCTTTTATAAAGAAAATTATATTCAATAATAGAATAAAAAATATTGTATAAACAATTACTTTCTGATATAGTCTCCAAAATAATCTAAATTGATCAATAATATATTCTTTATCAAATGTTCTATAACAATTATTCCAATCAGCTAATATACCCCAAGATTGAAATTCAGTTTTTTGTTTTTCTAATGCTTCTGTAGCGAATTGGCGAGCTGTTGAAATACAAAAATAAAACCGGTAAAAATTTTACAAAATACAAAAGAAATAAAAATAGATTTTACCAAGTTTACGAACAACGATTGGATCTTTATCATCTGAATTTCTTTTATTTTCTTGTAATGCTCTTAATTCAATTGGTAAACCGTGACAATCCCAACCGGGACGAAAATCTATTCGATTTCCATTTAATAATTTATAACGAACAATAATATCTTTTTGAATCTATACAACAAAAAATCGTGTACATGAAAAAAAACACAAACGATCGATTTCTAACTTTATTTAGAAAATGTCCGATATGAAGAGGTCCATTAGCAAATGGTGGTCCATCATGAAGAACAAACAATGGACGATGTATCTGCTTTGATTGCCATTCCCATAATTGATTAACAGGATGTTTCTAGAAATGATATCATTTAGAGAAAAAAAACACTTGAATTATGAGTTTTTCGGACAGAAAAATTTTCAAAGTAAACAGCATTTTTTATGAGATTTATAGTATCGTATTCCGAGTATGACAAGATTCAAATAAAACCAATCAACAAACCTGCCTGATATCATTTTCACATTTAATTCGATTTTTCATTGTACTCGCAAATTTACTTTTTGGCATATTGAGTGTATCTTTGTATGATACACTTTTACTTGATACATATCGTAAATTTCTATTGAAAATATTTTGATAACCAAATAAAATTCTCATCTAGTATACACGAAGAACAACATATATATATAAATATATTTATGCAAGTATGAGATAAGACAATAAGTAAAATAAACACACACATAAAGTGACAAAAATTATGTTTAAAAAAAAAAACATCCATCCATAATGAAGGATATTTAATATTGTTGTTTCTTTTTTCTCTTAATTTGAAATAAATGACTAGTAGACAACAGTTTAGTTATGAATAATTATCCACATAAATATAATTAGATTAGTTTTTTTTTTTTTTTGTTTATGTATTTTTTGCTTTGCTTGCACGTTCAGCTTCATCAATAGCAGCCATGTCAAGTGCAGCTGTATAAAGATGAATTAAACTGATGATTTGTTTTGCAACCATAATTGGTGTAACAATATAAAGAATTAAACGCCAAAGACCCATAGCATAACCACCAAAAGTAAGTACTAAAATTGAAAATTAAATACATAAATAATAAAAATCTTTTCTTTTTTGATTTCTACCTGCTGGACCTTCACCAAAATGAAGCATATAAATCATTGAAAACCAAAGTTCATTTCCTGCACACATTGTAAAAAGAACTTTCTACAATAAATACGAACAATTTAATCAATAAATAATTTTAATAATTATTCTTACACGTGATGTATAATAAAGACGAAGAATAGGATTGCCTGAAAGATCGATTTTCTTATGACTTTCTGAACCTTTGACCGTAGCTCTATAATAATGAAAATCGTTATTATAAGAAAAAAACCAAGATATATATTTATTTATTTACGCATGTAAATGAAGCCAATGACTAGCAACATCAATTGCAGCCCAAAGTTGGAAGAAAAGTGCCCATTTTGGATAAAACATTGCCAAAACAAAACATAAACACATTGTTGAACATCGATCAACAAGCATATCAAACATCGCTCCAAATTTCGTACCTAAATTTATATTTATCAAAATATATATATATATAACCTCTGTTGCAAAAGTCTTTGCACAAAATGTTCGTTCACTATTTGACCACTTGAAAACAACTAGTAAAGACCAAAAGTAGTTAGTTGGAATCAGAATTTTGTGCTCTATCAGAATATATACTTGGAATTTTTTTTCTAACCTAAGGTTGATTCACTCTGAGCAAATACTTGAATTAGCCGAAAATTTAGTTTGTACAGAATCCTATTTCTGCCAATTTTGTATTTTGGTTAAAGCTTAGTTAATTGAACAAATGAAACGTCTGTTCATATGGCAGTTTGTAGAGAAAAATTTTCTGTGCAAAACCCATATCCACTCATCTTTTTATAAATCGTCAAATTGGCTCGAAATCGGCTACATTCGAACAGGTGGATTTCCAAAAATCGATTTTTTGACAAAAACTGTTTTACGTTGAAAGTAGCACCTAGGAAAACATCTGTAACTTTTGATAGTTTTTAGTTCTACTCTATTATAATACCCAGTTTTGTACAGAATTGAATGCTCTACAAAAACGCCTAATTAAAACCGCGCTTAAGTATAGTCTGGAAAAGTAGCGGATTGCAAAAAAAACGTATTTTGCTTTGTACGGATAATTATTTCGGTCCCTTCAAACATTTGCTTGCAGTGAACCATCCTTAAGTTAGAAAAAAATTCGAAGTATATATTCTGATAGAGCACAAAATTCTGATTCCAACTAACTACTTTTGGTCTTCACTAGTTGTTTTCAAGTGGTCAAAAAGTGAACGAATATTTTGTGCAAAGACTTTTGCAACAGAGGTTATATATATATATTTCTTTTTTGATTAATAGAAAAGCAAAATGTACTTTGTCCAAGTGCACGAGCAGCATGTCCATCAAGTGCATCAAGAAATTCGCTGGTTAAATAACAAAATATTGTTATTTTTGGATGCGATGGCATAAAATAAAATGAGACAATCGATAAAAAAACTCGTACATAACCTACACAAAAAAAAATTTTTTCATAATAAAAATTTCATTTAGTATTTTCTTCTTACCAATAATATTTGGTATAAATAAAAATATATTATTTGTTTTAAGTAAAGCCTCAAATGAATTAATTGTTTGTGTTTCTGCTGTAACTTTTTTTACTGTTGGATTCGTATTACTTGCCATTCTCTTTTTGTTTTAACAAATATCTGAAATAAAAAAAAAAACAAAATAGATCTATGTAGATTAATTATAGATTTATCTCTTCAAATAAATCAATAGATTGATGTTTTAAAACCTAGAAAAAAATAAATAAAAGAATTTATTTTATAAAAAGAAAATTTTTCAAATCATTTTTTTTTGCCTCATTTCCTATTGATGTAAAATTTGGTAATAAATTTCTCGCATACAATTCTAAACAATGATCTATTTCATTATTTGGAAAATTAATTAAACTTTGAAATAATAAATGTAATGCGGGTTTTGTTGAATGAATCAATGCAGGAACCTAAAAAATACAACCACTATGAACACGATGTCTTGAAGACTTTAAAAAATGAAACACAATTTAGCTTTTATAACTAATCAAAGAGAAATTATTTTGTTCTATGTACATGTCTTTATTACCCTTTTGAAAAAATATTAGTGATATTTTTTACGATTTGAATTATATCTAATATACTTCGGTTAATGACCGACTTTTTCGATTTAAAAAAAAAAATATTCTAGCTCTTGAAGGGTTTAGGAAAATTCTAAGCATAAAAATGGCTAAGCTTCTGTTTCCCTCTTACATTTTACGTCGATAATCTTCTTTCTTGTATCAATTTTTTTTTTTGAGTACTCGAAATTCTCACTGCTATGCTTTAATATTTCAGTTAGTTCGTGTTTCACAAGATTTTAAAACAAGAAAATTAATTAAAATCAATACACTGCAAAGAATTTTAGTTGTTTGTTTGAATGAATTAAATTTATCATCATCTCCTGTATAACCAAGTATTAATGTTTCATAAGATTTTTTATCTATGGATGTTAAATCAAGTATTGGTTCACCGGATCTAGTTACCTAAAAAAGAATATATAATAGATTTGATGAGTGTTTTTTTTTTCTTAAACGTACTTTTAACCAATACCATGTTGTTAAATATTGACAATTCCATTTATTAAATAAATCATTTTTAATAAAATCTTCAATTCTATCACAATTTGTTGACCAACAACAAATTAATGATGATCGTGTACGATCAATTAAATGTTCAATAGGTAAATTTTTAATATCATTAAAATCTGACCAATTATATGGACGTTTTCGTCGTACACTTTTATTTATCCATGGTGGATCTAATACAATAAATGAATATTTTGTTCCTTCTTTCAAAAGAAAAATATTTTATGTTATTTTACTTAAAAAGAAAATGAAATATTTTGCTCACCACTTACAAGTAATGTCGAATTTTTTATATCCGACCATAAAAATCGACAATTTTCTGGTAATACGATTTGTCCTGCAAAAGCAGTATCAATTATACTCGGATGATTTTTATTATGAGTATAAAGAATATTTGTTTGTATGCCTAATTTTGATGCACGAAGAAAATAATCTATAAAATTTATTTATTAACATAATTTGTGTTTTTTTTTTGTTAAATAAAAATTCTTTACCTGTTAAAACAATTTGTCTAATTGATGGAATATTATTACATTGTTGAGTAGCAACTTCAGCAAAAGGTATACTATTAAATGTATGTTCAGTTTGAATTAATAATTCATTATTATTTAATAATAATTTACTTTTACAAAAATTCACTGCTTCATGAAGCTAATAATAAAAATTATTATAAGAAAAAAAAAAAAAACATTTTTCATCGATATTAATTTACTTTTAATATTAAATCATTTGAATTTTCATTAAATGCTTCATCATAAGTTCGTTTCTAAATAAAAATAAGTTGATTATATTCGGAGTCTTTGTATTGATAATATAAAGAATAATAATATCTGTGAAAAATTTATATTCAAATCACGTTATCCTTCCGAAATCAAATAAAAACTAAATATGCTATACAAACAACATTTTATCATAAGCGGCCTAATTTTAAACAAGAATAAAAATCCCCTTATCATTCTGTCTTATGCTAGGAATTCTTATTGAACCAAGAAACTTCGTTGAAATTAAGCACATAATTAGGAGTCTGAACTAGATTGGCTATAACACAGAAGTTGAATAATAAATCATTCCGCAAAAAGCTAATGTTTTTTTTTTCTTATTTCAATTTGAATTGCCTTGCCTCAGATTATAATGAATGATTGAAAAATAACAAGCAAAAAATTTTATTCAAGTGTCAATATCTTAAAGAAGCCTACAGAAATATGAACAAATTGACTAAGAATCAATATTTCGTGTTCTTGCTGAGTATGAATTCAAAAATGTTGTAAGGCTTCTCGTCTAAAAGATATGAGCCGACTTGTTCGGGATTCGTAAATTAAGTTTGAATGAAATTCAGCATGTCACGCATTAGTCAAAATAGAAGTGAATATTATTCTTAAAAACAACAAATGAAAGAGCAATTATTTCTATATATAATCGTATACTAATATTTAGTTTACTGCAAGTCATTGATCAACAACAAGTATTTCGGGTAAAGAATGTCGTGCTAATTTAGTGAGTTTTCTCCGTTCAAATTTGATTATTGCGCCTTAAATACTAGAGAATTTATAATGACAACACTGACTTCTTTCGCTTAAACTTTCAAAAAAAAAGTTTTTTGTATAGGTAGATTTGTCAAGAAATTTCTGATCAATGGAAAGATATATATTTACTAGACACAAAAACTGTATGTATCATTAGTTTCAAATGTAATGTTCTTCTAAATAATTACATAGCATTTTATTTATTGCTCATCATCACTATCATTATCATTTTCGTTCACATATATTTTAATATGGATATGGGTGTGGAGATTAATGTAGACGTGATCATTCTTCTTCTCTTCATTCATACTCTCACTATTAGAGGAGAGGAAGAAAGTGAATCTTTTTTAAAATTTATTGCTTGACCTAAAAAAATTGACCGTGCGTTGTCTCTGATATTCTACAAAAGTGTTGTAAGCATTATAACCGAAAAAGTACACTATAATACTTTTTTATGAAAGCTATTGAAAATTATGTATCTTAAGATAATATATTCATTGAGTACGTAACAAACTGCTTGATCGAAACATATTCAGTTAAACAAAACTTGAAGTTGTTGTTCAGATATTAAACTTAATTTCGCACAGAATATTCTATATAAATGAAGTTTAAACATGTTGACGATTAAACCATGCTTTTGATATTCGTCTCATAACTATACAACTCTTCAAAATATGATCGGATCTAATTTCTCTTTGAAAAAAAAAATAACTGGTTTGCAGTCAAGCATTGTAAACGGAAATTCGCTTTTATATAGAAAATCTGTTTTTTCGAACGACTAAAAATGTTAGTTATATACAACAGACAATTTCCGGATAGAAATGCAGAATGCAAAAACAATTTCGAAAGCGGAAATCACTCTGTTTCTTCTTCTTAGTTGTAGATAGTAGTTCTAATTAATTCTTGCAATCAGAATTCAACATGTTCTACTTGTGGTCAATTCATGAAACTAAAAAGGATTAAAGTTGAGGTATGTCTATCTAATAGTAAAACTTTTCTTGTAACTACTGTTTTTATATAATTTAACAAGATTCAAAGTTGTCGAATTTTTATTTCTGAAAATGAACTGAATCTCGATGTGCAAAGTTTTGTATTTGTGCAAACGAAAAAAACCCATCATACCATATTTTTCTTCTTCTTTTTTTTCGTTTGTTCCGTATTTGTCATTCGAAATGGTCGTTCAACATAAAATAAATCTTGTCTCCAAGTTAAATTTTTTCTACTGTCTTCTGTTGTACTATTTCTCCAATCTTTTGTATGTCCATAAATATGACTCAAAAACACACGTTGATCAAGAATGACAAACTGTTTGTCATCGTGGCAATGAATCATCGACATTAAAAATCTAACAAATAATCTAAAGAATATGTGACGTGGCAAAATTTTTAATTAAAAAGAAAAAAAAACGAAGTTGTTATTGTTTTTTTTTTCATTTTAACCATCATCATCATGTTTTTTTTTTTTGAAATAAGAGAACAGAAGATACAAAGAAACCAAAAAAAAAAGAACGAAAAAGAAAAGAGACATATGTTGTTATACAGCAAAATGAAGGACAAATGTTTTTTAAACACAGTTTAATATTTCCTTCGTTTTGTCTAAATTTTTTTCCAAGGCATTTATCTTTCAAATAAACACAATGACTAAACAATAAAGAGAAACAATCTAGCAAATTGACAAAAGAAAAAAAACAGAAAGAAAACATATATTCATATATATGTGTCTAACTAGAAGATAAAGGGAAAAGAACAAAACACACGTAGGTTGTTTTTTTTTTTCTTCTAATATATGTAATTGAAATATATGTTCAAGAACACTAATAAATTCCACTGACTAAATTCAAGATAAAAGTCAGAGAATTGACTTTGACAAAACAAAGAAAAAATGATGCGCAACGAGAATAAAGAGAACAAAAGAAAATCAACATATACAAAAAAAAAAGAAGAAAAAGAAAAAGAAAAAGAAGGAAAGCAAAACTGAATGTATTTAGATATTCATTTATTTTTTTTTGTTTGTGTTCATTTACGTGGTCGTAATTTTCGTATATATTCTTCACTTGATTCCGGTGTTTTCGATGTTGGTGTTTTTTTATTACCACTTGTTCGTGCTTTTTTAGGTGGTGTATGAACAGTATCACTTCCAGTTTTAGTTGTTGTTTCGTTTCCTTTGCGAACATCAACATCCATTTGTTCGTCATCATCAGATGTTGTTGTTGTTGATTTTTTACCTTTTGGTGTTGCTTTTTTCTTTTTCGAAGCACTAGGTGATGGTGATGATGATGCTTCACGTTTTTTACTTGTTTTTGCTGATGTTCTTGGTGTCGTCATACGTGGTGATGGAGTTTTCTTTTTTGTTTTACCACTTTCGGTTTTATTTTCGTCTTCTTCAATATCGGATCGAACTGCTTCTTGATCACTTCGAGGTTTAACTTCTTCAGTTGAAGTACTACCTAAAAGAAGAACAAAAAAAAATCATACAAAATTATACAGTAGACTTAAGAAGAATTCCTACTATTGGGTAGAAAGTTATTATATGAATTTTAATCTTTTCACCTGATATTCAGATTACAAATAGAGCTTGGTAAATGCTGATCGCAAGCAACAACGAAAGGTAGATTAGTCTTAATGGAAAAAATTTATGATGCAAATAATGGTTTTTTTTTGCCTTGAGGGCCCGAAAAGGCTTTATTTGACACTTTTCTAATTTTCTACTATTTAAATACGTTAATTTCTATTTTTCTTATGAACAAGTAAAAATCGGTATGTCTATATTATATCACAGATAGGGTACTTCAATTCACTGTAATCTTGAAGCGTAGGAAGTCTTCATTGTCAGAAACCGTCTCAGTTTGGATTACTTCTTCATATATGGCTACAACCGTGAAATTTGGCGGAAAAACTTGATCAAAGTATGGCACTCACAGGAGAAAATTTCAAAGCTAATGGTGAAAATTAGCTGAAGTTACAGCTCGTTTTCTGACACTTACTCTCAACTCTAATATGAAGATAGCTTTATAAATCAGATAAACAAAAATCATTTGATATGAAGTTTGAATTGGTGATAGAAACTACACTGAGCCATCAAATGAAGAATCTATTGTCCTGAGGGTTTTTGAGAACAGAATTCAACATATTCTATTTGTGTATAAAATTAAAAATGATTCATGTTCAGTTTTTTTTTCATTTCGTAACAAGACTTTTCTCGACTACTGCATATTGAAAAACTTCTATTACCTGATGTTGGAGTTGATTGTGTGGCCTCTTTTGGTATTGCTTGACGTTTAGTACGTTTTGGCGATGGAGAGGATGCTTTTTGACTTGTTGTTGGTGTCTGAATATCTTCAGTAGTTTGTTTTTCTTCTTCATCTGTTGTTAAAACTGGTTTTTTAGCACGTGTTGAATGACGTGTTGGTGGTGTTGATACTGCAGGTGGTTTAGCTTTACCACGAGGAGACTATTTTAATCAAAAACACAAACAGCATATTTAAAAAGAATGAAAAAAAGAAATCCTTACTTTTGTTTTGCGTTCTGATGTTGCAGAATCAACTACAGTAGTTGCCTCAGGAGCTGTAACTGATGCAGAAATATCTTCATTTGATTTCGATGTTGTTTCAATAGGAGGACCAGAAGAAGAAGCATTATCAACATTAGTTGTTGATGTTGATGATAGATCTTCTTTAGCAACATCAGTTGTTGTTGATAATGTAGGTTCAGGTTCAGTTGGTGTTGGTACATCAACTGGTGGTGTAACTGTTGATGTAACATTATCCGTTTGTTCATTTGATGGTTCCGGAATGGATTCCTTTTGACTTGATTTTTCAATTGTTTCAGATGTTTCTGATGCTGAAACAGTTTCTTCCGTTGGATTAACATTAGTTATAGTTGTTGCATCAGTTGATGGAACTTCGTCAACAGTTGCTTTTTCAGTTTGTCCATTAACATGTACATCAGCTACATCAGTTGTACCAGTACTTTCTTGAACAGATTCTTTAGTACCTGAACCTTCATGATCATTAGTTTTATTATTTGTTGTATCGTTTTGTCCATTAACAACCGGTTGTGGTGATGTTTCTAATTTGTCAACTACTTCAAGATCATTATTTGGTTGTTGCTGTTGTTGAACTTTTGTTTGTGATACAGCACTACCAAGAACTGATGTTGATGACGATGGTTCAAAATTGTCGACGGATTGTATCGACATTAGACGATTATTTTATTTAAGTTTAAGTAAATGAAAAATCTAAAATAACCACAAAGTTCATTGAGTACATTAGAAAGACTTTATTGGCATAAATAATGAGAGAAAAAGTTATATTATTTTTCAAAATTTTTTGTTTGGAAAAAAATTTTTTTATTAACAAAAGATGAATAAAAAAAATCAGTTTAGCTTGTTTTTCAATTTTCAATAATCTTTGTTTTGTTGCCTATGAACAATCTTTCTGTCTTGCATTTTCTTTATTGATTACTGACTCTTGTCTTTGTTCAATTTAAAGTGCATAAGTATGTTAAATATTAAAAAAAGAATAAGAAGTAAACAAACAATCTAATTAAAATTATCTTTATTTTATTAATATCTAGAAAATTACGAAATTAGATATAAAATATTTTTCATATTAAATCCTATGTCAAATATGTCAAAAAAACAAAGGACGAATGAAAAAATATCCTCGAAGTAGAAATACGATTGAAGAAAAATGGCTGTAATTATATAAACAACGCTATTCTATATTTATTTATGAATGGTTTGTCGATTCAATGAGTCATAAAACCTGTCTTTTCTTTTCTATTGATACTAGAAAAATATCATCAATAACAAGAACTAGAGATATTTTCGAGGGACAAAAAAATAATTCTAATAGGATATTTGACACATTGATGCAAACTAAATTGGTGTTATTGAATACTTAGTAAAAGGATAAGAAGAAAAATATTTTTTTTTATTTTATATTTATAATAAATGATATTTGAAAAGAAATCTTATAAAAAAAAACAGAAGAAAATGTTGTCGCTAGTATCTATGCCATTTTTTTATACACTAGTGACAATGGAATTTGCTATGTTTTAAAGAATTTTTTCCATGCGAAAGAGTTATGATTTATATGTATCAGATAGTTTTATGAAAGATTTTATTATAAAATGAGTAAACATTAAATATCCAATAAAAGTTTACGTCAGCAAATTAAGATTATTGATGAATGTAATAAATTCCAGCGGAAAATTTTAGTTTGCTTATGAAAGCATTATTTGGAGTAAAGGCATTGATACGTACTTAATATTGTTATTCTAATGATTCTTGATATACACTTCACGATTGTAGAATATATATATAAATGATGAAGCGTGTATATCATGAAAGCGCACAATTAATTAGCTATAAAAAGTTTTTACAACGCGCATGGTTCTTACGTGAACAGATGGATTATTTTTTAGCGAGATATGGATGTATTTGAAAATATCCTCTTTTGAGACTATTTGTTTTTTTTTGTCTCAATCTATCAAAGTGCATAAACGCGTTGAGTATACTGCATGGTAGAGAGAAAAATGCGTCAATTAGGTTTTGCCTAATATATTCTCTAAATACAGTTCTCGATATGAAGAATAAAGAATCTTAAATGTATATATACATTTTAAAGTAAGGGTTAATTTTAATGTATTTTATTTGCTTAGCTTAATTCAAATAAATAGGTTTAATAAGAAAAAGAAATCGATCGTTATCAATTAGTAAATTAATCGATCAGTTTTGTTTCTTTTTTTTCATTGATATTTCTCTTGTTTTTTTCTATTCGATGAATCATATAATGTCTGTTGGCTATGCTCGTTTTGTTTTTTTTTTTGTGTAAATAAAATTTGCTAATGTCTATTACGACGAATAATATATCTATTGATAATCTCGATGAATTCGATCGACAAAAAAAACAAGCAGAAATGATTCGTCAATATTTACAAGTTACAAATATTGATGCAAATCCTTTACCTATAATACATACGACATCAGAATCTGATTCTTCGACAGCATTTACCACAAGTAAAAAAAGAATTCAAAGAAAAAAAACTCATCCTTGAATATAATTTTTTTTTTTATTGGCTTTATCTATAGCTCTATTACCATTATCATCACTTAATTTTAATGAACTTCGAAAAGATTTAAAACTAGCTGAAGAACGTGTTGAGCGTTTACGCCAAGAATTAAAAGAAATGCAAAGAAAACGTGATGAATCTTTGTTAACAACATCACCACCACCATATGTACTACCATCAATTAATAAGACTAATGCAGATTTTTTATATCATAATCTTTCAACATGTATTAATAGAGGAATTATAGATAAAACATCACCATCCATTCTACAAGGAGTAAAATACTTCATGTAAATTTTTTCTATTGAACTCCTTGTTTTTTTTTCTTTAAAGTTTTTCTTATCACAACAACAAAGTCCACGACAACTGACTAATAGTGCAATTTCATCATCATTACTATTACCTAGTTTTAATTCTGCTAATCATTTATCAACAAATCCAGGTGGGGTAAGCGCTGCTTTTGGTTTTCTGCATACTTAATTTTATGATTTCTCACATTATTTAATTATTAATATATTTATTTATTATGTAGCTGATATATCTAAAGATCATCGACAACAACAATTTCTTTTAACAATGCGTCAACATCGTGAACAACTTATTGTCTATATTGATTCATTAAAACAGGCACTTAGTTCACTTGATCGATTAGCTTCATTAGAACCAACTCGTAGTGAAATTCATCTCGCTAATATGAAGTAATTGATTGATAAGTTTTCATTCGAATTTCATTCCTTTTTTGTTTTATTAAAAGACTTGATACGATTCAACAAAAAAGCCGACAACTTCGTGCTCTAAAATCACATCGTTCATCTCAGCAATCTCCATTTATTGAATGTCGTATACGTCAATTAGAACATGATATAGTTTATATGTTAAGTGAACATCAAAAAGATGTACAAGCTAAACTTGAATTAAATGAACAACGAAGTCTTATGTTACTTAAAATAATGCAAGTAACAGATGAATTAGCTGCTGTTGATCAGCAAATACAACAGTAAGATCAAAGATTTCGTTGTTTTTTCTTTTCTTTTTTTTTTTTGTTGTCGAAAATTAATATTAAATTTAGATTATTATCGCATACAACATCAAATATGGACATACACCGTACAAATTCATCTCTATCATCTAATGAGATAAATCAACAACAATCATTACGAGTTATTAATTTATCAAATAATATTGACGGAAGACGTGTTTCATTTCGAGAACCAATTGACAATAATTCCTTGACAAAATTAACTAATGGATATTATCTTCATCGTCATTAATAAATAGAAAAGAATCTCTCATTAATATTTTACATCTAATTAGTCTGATATTCGAACAGTATATAAACCAAATAAGAAAAATAAAAAAAAAGACAAATTAAACGCGAATCTCTTCTCATCTTTGCAATATATTAGTTTATATATAAATATATTCATGTTTTTTTTTATTCACGTGTGCTTTTTATTTTTAATAAAATACTGATTAATGCGTGATCTCTCATGAGATATTCTATGGAAATGAATGATGATGATGTGATGACGACATGAAGAAAAAAAGATGATAGGAATGGGAAAAAAGGTCTATACACACACACATATATATATACAGCTCAATTCTAAAGAAAGAAAAATGGGAATAAGATTGAAAGAAAAAAGAAAGAACAGAAAATGTACGTCATTTGTTTTCTTCTTCGTAATGCATTGGGATTTGGAAAAAGAAGATGAAGACATATGAAGTAAAAAAAAAAAGAGAGAGAGAAAAGGACAGTAGACTAAATGAGACACAAAAAATAGCAGTTCATTGTTACATGTACAGTACGGTAATCTCCGGTCAAATAATTAGATGAACGACGACAACGTCTACTCAGTAGGAGGTAGATAGGTACGTTAAATATTTCTCTCTTTCAATTGATTTGAACCGAGAGTTCATGTATAAAAAAAGACAATAAGGAGAAGAAAAAGCTTACGCAACAGAAAATCATGTAAGTAAATAGTTATATCGTATCAATTCATTATTTATTATCAGATAGTCGCGATAACTTTAAACAATAATTGCCAATGGGAATTAAAAACATTGATTTTGTTTTTTTTCTTGTCTAAAATTGATTATTTTGAAGAACAGATGAATAATAGTTGCTGTATTATAAATAAATAATCTCATTACATATAAGTACGTGACAAACATTTATTTTTTCTTTATTCATTTGAAGTTGCAATAAAATGCGAAAGTCTGCAACAACTATTCTTCCACGTTCTACATCAACTCATTTAACTTCTATTCAACGAAAAAATTCTTCATCTTCAGCAACAACATCAACAGCAACACAATTTCCACATAGTACGAGTCATCATAATTGTCAAGAATTTATTTCAAATAATATAAATACAAAGATTCGTTCTCGGTCAATTTGTAGTCGTACAAATTTTTTTACAAGTCCAACAACACATGAACTATCTCGCTTCGAACCTATACTTAATCATGATACAGATTCATTAAAAATTGGTGACCGCATATATGTTAATGGTCAATGGTCAGGTATTATATTATATATTGGTGAAACAACATTTGGAACTGGTGATTGGGCTGGTGTTATACTTGATGATCCATCATTAGGTAAAACAAATGGTATTGTACGTGGTCGATGTTATTTTCAAACAACCAATAATCGTGGAATATTTTGTCGTTTAACTAAGCTTACTCGAGAAAAAAATTTATCTTGTGAAGTAGAACAAAAATGAGAGAAAAAAAAAACAAAATGTAAATATTTCGATACTAAAATTCTACATATATAATAAATAAGATAAACAAAACGAAAACAAGAAAAAAAAATCAATGAAAAAGTCATTCTCTTTACATAATTGAACAACGTAAATTGTTATTATTTTTATGTAGTTTTCTTTTACATTTACTTTTATGTTCATGTTTATTATTACCGAAACGTGTAAATAAACGTGAAAGATCACTAAATATTGAAGAACTATTTGTTGTTTGTTTATAATCGGATAAATAATCTGTCATTAATGTTTGATTATTAAGATAATCTTTGTCATCAGGTAATGGTATATGTACATCAATATCAGATGCATATATATTTTCTTTAACTAATGATTTTTCATATTCATTATTATTATTATTATTATTATTTGTAATTCTAATTGGTTGAAATGTTGTAGGAAATGGATTTGTTAAACCACAATGTAACCAATTAAACATTGATAATGGACGTGTCTGACGTACTTCATTATCAATATCACTTATTGGTTTACAAAAACTAAAACTACGTATTTGTTCGTCTTTTTTTATTGATCGAAGATTAACATCAGAATTTTTTTTAATTGGTATTGCATATTCAGGTTTTGTTTCTGTATAATTTGTTTCATCATTAGGTGATACCTTAGATGAATGTTTTGGACTAATTTGTGATATAGGAATTGATAATATTGGATTTTTATATGTCTTTTCATTGATGTGTTTTAATATTGATGACTAAAACAAACAAATAAAAATAAATAAGGATTCAAATATTGTACAAGTACAACATTTCGTATCTTTACCTAGAGTGGAGAGGGGGAGGGGGGGGGGGGGGGGGCGAAAATTCTTTAAGAAAGTGCTTTCATCTTCAGAGTGCTAGAAATGATGATTAAGAAGGGTGGGACGGCATGACCCAGCTCCTATCATAATAGACGATCTGCTAACATGCAGTTTCTCCTCTGAGACCTGTCCTAATTCTATTTATCTGCCGACGACATTGTTTGCTTATCATTATTTCACTGTCTAGTAGAGAAAGGCAAATTCTATTTCAAAATCTGATTTCTTTTCAAAATTACCACGAAGCTGTAGAAAACTTGGCACGAAGTCAAACATTTTGGACAGGAGACGTTTCTAAATCGAGAACGTTGCCCTTACTCTAATAAAAAACGACAATGCTACGATCGTTGGTCAGCAATGAGGCTGAAGCTCTCAATTCTCCGCCTTTTGTCCTCCTCTGACGACGCTCTTAATTGATAAATAGCTTACATCATTTGTTTCATGTTGTCTTTTATTTAAACTTTTATCATCTATTGATAATGATGAATTTGATTTTTTTTCTTTTTTAATTAATGATGGTTTAACATAGATTAATTCTTGATTTGGATTATTTGAACGTAATTTACTGAATTCTCGTTCTAATTCTTCAGTAATTGAAGATTTTTCTGGTTTATTTATTGTTAATATTGATGATGATGTTTTTTTATTTAAAAATTTCTCTGTTGATTGTAAAGAATTTGGTAATAATTGAACAGGAATATTTAATGATTGTAAACCATTTGTTTTAAGAGTTTTTATTAAATTTCGAATTTCTAAACGTTCAAGTGATGTAAAACTTGAATGACTACGACTACGAGATCTTGCTGCTGATAAATGATGTGTTGAACCAGAACAGAGACTATCACGACTTAAATCTCGATGATGAGGACTGAAAAAGAAACAAATTCAACAAAAAAAAAATATTTAATTGGATTAAAAATTAAGGCAAAAACAAAAACTAAACGACATACGTTAATGATGTACTTCGACTTGATGTTTGACGAAGTTGTCGGAAATCTTCCATAGCAGCATTCAATAATGGATCATGACGTAATGAACCATTTAAAATTTTTTGTAATGATGAATGACTACTACAAGTACTTAATGATGATGATGATGATGATAATGGTGATGGTTGTTTAGTAGAATTTATTGGAGTAGATCGATTTTTATTTTTAATAGAATTTATTGTATCTTCTTGATATATTGGATTATTAATAATTGGTATTTCATCTAATGTTGTTATACGAACAATATCTTGTTTAGAAGTTTGTTTTCGTTTTGGTGATGATGATAAATGTCTTTTATGTAATTGTTTATTTTCTTTTGGTAAATATGAATTATAATAATGATTTTCATGATTTAAAGACATTTCTTTTTCATAATTCATATTCAAATTTGATTGATATAAATGATTCATTGAATGCCATGAATGTGCTTTAAGTAAATTTGTTGAATTTTGTTGAAAATTCGACATAGATTTTGTTTTTGATGATTGATATGGATGATTTGCTATGGAATAACGTTGAGAATGTAATGGTGTATCAATAGAACGATGACGATTCATATGACTTGTAGATTGTTTTAAATGATTGTAACGTGTATTAGAATATGATGAAAATGGTTGTGAAGGTTTTGAAGGTGGATTATGATGTGGTGGATGAGATAGTATAAATGGTAATGGATAAGATATAGGTGGATGTGCTGGATATGATGAAGAAAAATATTGTTGAGAATGAGTTGGATATTGAAAAGGATTTGGAGACCATGGAAGAGAAAATCGAAGGCGAGGTGACTCCATATAAAATGGATAAGATATTGGTTGTTGCATTGTTAAATTCATATTTATGATTAACTAAATATGAGTTTTTTATTTCTTGATATGATTATTTGATAGAAATAATTCTTACCGATGATGGGGTTTTTTTTTGAAAAAAAAATTAATATTCAATAGTTTATAATTAGTTTTTTGATCACATCACACTATTGAGTCAAGGTAGGCTATGTTTTTTTTTTACTTCTTTTCTACTCTCCGCTATAAATCACGATATGGACACGGTTAAAGCTCAGTAAGTGAAGAGAATATATATATATGTACCTTCAAAGGTCATACTCTCATCGTGTCCGTATGTTCAACGAACCGAAACCGTGGCAACAATGAGAACAATAGACAATATGAATGAATGAATGAATTCATACATATAGATAAGTGATGTGTAGCTATATGTATTTATATACATATTCGTTATATCTGATACTCTCTCAAGAGAATATAAGATAGGAAAAAAAGAAGAAAATGAGTGTGCGTGCTCCTGTTCAATGTCTTCTTCATAGACATGTATATATCCTATCGACAATGTCATTTTTAACGAAAGCATTTGGTCAAAGTCATTTTGGATTAATGATGATTAATGTGTAGACAAAGAAATAAAGAAAAAGAAATCTTATATGAAATGTTCATCGATTTACAATCAGTTCAACTCATCGGATAATTTTAGATAAAATTAAATCGTATTTTTACGAGTTAAATTGTTACTTCATGGAAATAAATTGTGTCTTTCTTTTTCTGTTTTTATAAATTTTATTGATTATTTTTGAAGAAAATAAACAAATTATGGTTCCGTCTCGTTTCATCGACAAAAATTTTTTTCCATTTTGTCAACAAGATACTAATAATAGAGAACATCAAGAATCACTACTTGTCTATTAAAATTGAACTTAGAAACATCACTGATAATAGCAATATTTTTGTTTCTTTCTTAATAATAACATTGGACAAGTAAGACTGTGGGCGTAGTTGGTGGCCTCCTCTTAACCCACAACCTCATTCATTTGGATCATTATCTATAAAACACTATTAGTGATCCACTTTTAAGGTGCTTTATTATCTTCTAAAAAAAAATGAATATTCATTATGTGTCCTTCATTAATCGAATCTTAACTTGCCGACCAAACGCTTAATTATTGCATTGTAGTCTGTCAAAGAAAGAAACATTGTCGATGAAACGGGATGATACTCAAATGATTAATCATTTTTTTTCTTTGCAAATATAATTATGACCAACGCAGACTGATTGCAAATGAAACTCTTGACTTAATGAGATCAAAAGAAAAGACATTTGAATGAACCTCAATAATAATAATCAGTTTACCCTCGAATCTATCCCATTTGGTGATCTCGCATTTAGATCTCGTCTCTGTTCATTAATGATTTATCAAATTAAAAGGAGATGGTAAATCTTTACTTATCTTTATGATTAGTCATTGGTTGTGCAGAATCAATATAATAATTCGGTTTCAACCAAATGACATGTCAACGATCATTGTTAAGATGCATATATTGAATACATAACGTTAGTAACCAATAACATGCAATTGAAAGTGAATTTTGTTAAGAAGTAAAAATAAACAATTTTATTTTTTTTTCAGTGTATGGAATCTGGACAGTTTCTCGCAGGTGTGAGCGTGTGGACGTGGAAAGTAATGTATGAGAATCTTCTCTTCATCTTTACCTACACTCGCATCTATGTCAGCAAATTCTCTAGGAAGCTACTGTCCGGACGATTAAATATAACATGTCTGTACTCAATAAGTGTTGATAACTTTTGTATTTATCTGGTTACTTTTTCTTATACCCTAATAATCAATATTTAGCACAAAAGATTTTATGCATATCCGATGAAAGAATAATCAATTGAAAAGAAAACTTTTGAGCAATTTCATATTGAATCTTTATTGAATAATAAAATTGACTTGTGATTCAATGAGTTCACTTGATCCAAATTTCAACATATTCAATATACGATTTAAAATTCATTGAAACCAATCGATATATTGGAATACTAACGTATAATATCAAAACATTTCTATCTAATGCCTGGATTAAAATTCAATAAAATGCTATCATGACTACTACACATAGAAATGATTATATTTTGTAAAACAATCTTTTTATTTCAATGTAATATTAAATTAAATAGAAATAACAATAAAACAGGAGAATTTTTATTTTGTTTTTTGTTTTGGTTAAATAAGTCTGTCGTTCTCTTATTGTTTTATAAAAGAAGACAATCAGTTTTTGTTAATGTATGACATGTATGACTTTGTCCAAGTTCACATCGACATGTTGTCATACTAAATGCATAGTTTGTTGGACAAACAAAATCATAACGAAGTAATGTACCATCTGGTGCTTGATTATTAGTTGTACAAAAATAAAATTTTGTACAATCATACATATCTCGATAAAGACCAGAACGTCGACCAGCACAATCAAATATTGGTGTTGAACCACCTGAAATACCTAATAATTGACCTAAACCATTTAATGCAAACATAGCTGATTGTGGAATATTTGATTGAATTGTTGTTGTTGTTGGTCTTATTGTGGTTGTTGTTGTTATTAATGGATGTGATACACAAAATGTTTCACTTGTTGCTTGACATGAACGACCGGTTGGCCAATCACATGTACATGCATCCATTGAAAATTCAAGTCCAGGTGGACAAAAAAATATATGATAACGTAATGAAGATAAATCATTACCTTCGCAAAAATAAAATATTGAACAATTTGTACGATCACGATAAATTCCATTACGACCAGTGTGATGACGAGCACATATATATTCAGCATTATATGTTTGATGTGCAACTGGTGGTGGTGGTGGTGCTGCTGTTGATTCAACAATAGGTGTATAACTTGTGGTACCTGATAAAACACTAAGAGCATTTAATAATTGTTGTAAATTATTAGGTATTATTGGTGACGCTGGTAGATTTTGAGCTTGTACATTAACAAAACGAACTGTTGGAGCACCAGTAACAGGAGCAATACCAGCTGGCATTCGCTGTTGTATAGGAATTGATGGTGCACTTGTTGCTGGTACAGGAAGATTGAGAGTTGAAAAAACTTGTCGAGTTATTGGAAATGGTTCCGTATTACAAAAGAAACCAGAAAATTCTTAAATATATAATGAAATATTATAACTATATATATCAACTTTAATTATACATACCATCATTATCAATACTCCATATAAATACACCGCCAAGTCGTTCTGCTTTTGCATATTGTGCCTATATCAATATATGTTTATATGTATAGTAAAACTTTTCTATTACGAACACTATCAAGGCTATAGAAAAAAAAGCGTTCCCTGAAAGAAGGTGTTCAGTTTAGAGAGTTGACATATGATTTGCTGTGATATGAAAAAATTTTCCGAAAATATCTCTTTCTACACTGTCCTAGTTATCTAAGTTCTTGTTCATCTATTTTCATCGATATGTCTCGAATTGAAAATATGAAATTTCGTTCTCGTTTTAAACTCTCTAATATTATTCGTCTTTGTGCTTTTGAAGTAATATCAATGTCAATCACGTTTTAGTCTAACTCAGTAATTAATTCAATTCTATTCTAACAAATTAAGCTCATGACGTAATGTCATTCTTTCTTCTACATATAAAACAATCAAACAATGCATTAAATCTGCATATTGATAGACAATAGAAAGAGATAAAAAAAAACATTGTGCATGTGTTCACTGTAAAAAGGTTATTATAGCAAGAGGGACTAAAAATAAACGCTTCTGACTCCATGAGACTTCAAGTTTGAAGTCTTTATTATTCTTTATTCGGATTTTACTGTGTATATTTATATATATGATCTATTGATTTATTTTATTCATAAAAATTTACTTTAAGTGCTGCCGAATCAACATCTTCATAAGTAATCCATTGATCACCATTTGTCATATACCATGCTTTTTCAGAATCTAACCATACTCGTTGCCAATTTTGAGATTGTCCTTTTTCACAAACCTAATAGAATATAACACAAAAAAATCAAATTATAGATATTTTTTCTTTTCGCAATATCAATAAGAGAAAAATATTAACCTCATAATATGAAAGAAAACCTCTAGTTTTTGTATATCGACCAGGATAACCTGGACCATTAGCTAGAAAATACAATGATCAAAAAAATAAATAATAAATTTAATTAAATAAAAAACAAATAAAATAAAACTAACCCGGTGCATGAAGACTTGTCTGTCTACTTGATAATGTAAATGAACGACCATAAGCTGGAATACCAATAATAATTTTTCCTCGTGGTATACCAAGACTAAGCCATAATTTAACAAGACCATCCTATAACATTCATATTCAAGAAAACAAAATTAATTATGATAATCCTTTATTTTACTTACAACATTACGAAGTGATTCAGCTTCTACTTGATAATGTTGATGAAATAATGGTGCGAAAACACCTGTTTTTTCATCCCATGGACCTAATTATAATATATATATATGACAAAACTTATCGAATAATATTTTGTTATTTATTTACCGTAAAAATCAAAAGTCATTAAATTGATATAATCTACAAGACTAAGAAGTAAAAAAAACACAAAATTATCGATGATAAATAATCTCTTTTTTTTTTATTAATATTACTTTCCAATTTTTTCAATATCATATACTTTCAAAAGATTTTCTACAAATGGTGCAGCTGTCAATGTTATAATTGATCGTAACATTAATCGTTTTTGTTTGATTAATTCCTAAATAAATGAAGAAATTTTTCTTTTTTTTTTTCTTTTGATTAATTTTTAAAAAAGAAACCTCAATTAATGTTGTTAATGCTGCTTTATCTTCTGGAACATCTGCATCAAGAAATTCAAGTGCTATATCAATTCCATCAAAACCATATGTCGCCATATACCTTAAATATATAAACAAAAACAAAAAAGAGTTTGATAATGAAATTCAAACAATTAAAATTACCATATAAGACTACGAACAAGCTGTGCAGCCATTTTTGACTGTTTTAAATATCGTGTATATTGAGACATTTTTCCACCCAATCGAATAGATACTTTCAAGTTCGGATTCGTTCGTTTAAGTAAAGCAAGTTCTCGATAATGTTCTAAAAAAAAGAAACAATTTTTTAATGTTAGAAACTTTTTTATTTGTCTATTAACCAAGATCATCTTTTTGTATTGGTATAATTTCAGGTTTTTTATCATCGACAGTGGCATAAGCATAAATAATATGAGAACACATAAATGGATCAATAAATTCAATTTCAAATTTCGCTTCACCAGATCGATATCGAGACCAATTTGTAATATAACATACACGATGCATCGGTGAAGACTCATCATTAGTTAGAGCTAGTCGGAAAAAATAGAAATAGTCAATATTATTAGTTAATCAATGGTTATGTTTTTTCTAGACTATTATTACAAAAAACCTAAAGATGATCGAAGTGGATCTGTTGGCTTATGAAATAAGAAAATAAAAAACTAAGTGTTACTAAACAATGTTCAAAATATTTTAATAGAATTCTTAATTTTTTTAAGCACAATTTCAAATACAATTTCAATTGTTATAAAAACAGATGATCTAATCATTGATTCTTATTATGCACTCAGACGTACTTAACCGATTTGCATTAATGTCATTTAGTTGACCGATAATAATAATCAATAGGATGGATGCGAAATGATACATCAGTAATAGTGATGGATAATATTGATCGAAATTCAAATTTTTTCTTTTTGTTCAAGCTGACCAGCTAAATAAAAGCATACAAATAACGAAGAGGACGATGGACAGTAGACACAATTCGATATGACCACAGAGTTATAGTTGTGGGAGTAGTAACAAGAAAAAAAACCAATTGCTCCCTAATCAAACAATCTCATCCTCCGTGTAATAACAGAAGATCCGCGTGTCAACAGATTATCCTGTGCACACATACATAGGATATACAACTGAACATCAAATGTCATGTACTTACACAGAATAGATATATATATATATGTATGTATATATATATCTATATACAGTGCGTGCGAACAAGTTGAACACAACTTGAGCATTCAAACAAAACAGTAGTCACCTATAGAGCATAAAACAAATGCTCATTGAATGGATACATTTAACACAAAAAAATAATGAACTTGATCCTAATCGAAACAAGAAGACAAAAAAAAACGAAATATGAGAAAGTAAAGAATGGATCATTGTATTTACCACCGATGATGACCTTGTATACATTTACACATATATTTCATAGTTGAACATTCATCTCGTAAATATCCAACGAAGATGATAAGTGAGAAAGATTTTATATATTGCGAAACGAACTCAAGTTTATATCTTATTAAATATTCTATTGATCCTCGTTATCGTCTACAAACAAGTTTCACTAACATATTCAATGATGTAATCTGAATCTAGTCAAAAAAATGAGGAGACGAATAAAGAAAGAGAGAGAGACAGTAAAGAAATAGGATTTCATTTTATTTAATCATAAGAGTATTTGTATGGTTCTATTTCAGTATGATTATATATATTCATTAAAACTTCACTTCAATATAAAATGATTACTCAACGTTCAAATTTTGTTTTCTTATTTTGTTTTTTGTATTTATTAAATAATTATTTAATTGCACAAAAAATTTCACGTGAGACACTTGAAAACTAAAAAAACAAAGGTTTTTATTTTAAACTTTCTTTTAGGTTCTTCATCTGATTTACCACGCTTATGTGCGTATTATCGTGACCCATCACAGTATTATCCATGTGTACTAAATTATATTGGTCTTAATAGTTGGGCTCTGTATCGATGTCCAGATCAATCAACATTTGATGAAACATCACAACAATGTTTAGTTAAAATTCCTATAAACGATGCATTTGAACAACTTGCTTTATTATCATCAACTGATAATGCACAATTTCACCGTGTAGCTAGTTTTATTTTAGCTACACCACCACAAACAAATGAAAATGATGATTTACAAGAACAACAACAGCAAACAAGACTTGTTTCATTACCACCAACAATTGATAAATTAATGGAATCATTGTCAATGAAAAAACTTTTACATAAAGTAAGAATAGAATAAAAGTTTAATAAAGAAGAAAGACTAAGCGAGAAATTATTCTGCTGTTGATGTTTTAGCGAGCTGAACGTGATACATCGGAACAATTATCAGGTATAATATGGTCTCATGGTTATCCACTTATGAAATTAGACAATAAACCAATTCTTGAAAAAGATTCATCGATAAAACCAAAATCAAGTCATTCTTCTGTTGTAGTTCGCCATCTTATTCCTGTTAACGAAGGTAAATATTCAATTATATCAGTTTAAAAATTCAAATTGTTAAGATTTCTTACCAAAATAAAATTGTAATATATTTCTAAACGTAGAAATTCAAAATAAAACAGTCTCCATTTACATTTCTCATAGATATTAATGATCATGTTGAATATCTGATTTCTTTTCCTATATGAAAAAAATAAATAAGGCTTTTCTATCGAAAAAGACACTCAGTTTTTTTTAAATACAATCTACGATTTGTTTATATCATAGATGTAAATTATTTTTGGAAGATTTGCACTCAAAATGAACCTATAGACGGTGACAGTTTCATTTACTCTTCTTCGTTATTACTACAAATGTTTTCATTGATAAAGCCATTTTATTATTAAAAAAATTCAATTATGTATTTCAGACGAACTTAAATATAAGAAAATTTGTTATTTTACAAATTGGGCTCAATATCGAACTGCTCCAGCAAAATTTGAACCTGAACATATTGATCCATTTCTTTGTACACACGTTATATACGCATTTGCTGGTATTGATAATCGAACATTATTAATAAGAAAAATAGAAGATAATGATGAAGGTTTGTATATAGATATGAACAACATGATCCTGATCCCAGCGGAACTGAGACTAGAACCAACACTTTTTCATTAGTAACGATACTTTTTACAGTCATGTGTCCTAAATAGATATGGACAAGATGGTTCCGCTTCTGAAAGAATAGAGACTGCGAAAAGTTTTTCTTTCCTGACCTAGATTGGGATTCAAAACGATTTGTTCCGCTCATGTCTATTTGTATAAAATGTGTCTGAAAACGAAATTTTTGTAATTCTTTTATCAAAAACTAGATCTTTATAAGCGTGTAAATGCACTGAAAATACGAAATCCTAAATTAAAAACGTTACTTGCTGTTGGTGGTTGGAATATGAAATCTTATGCATTTTCAACAATGGTACATGATAGTGAAAAACGACGAAAATTTGTTTTTGATGCTATTAAGTAAACCGAAAAAGAAATTATTATTATTTTTTTCTAGAATCAATAATTTTTTTTTGTATAGCTTTCTTCGTAAGCATAAATTTGATGGTTTAGAAGTCGATTGGGAATATCCAGGTGTACGTGGTGGACAATCTGATGATAAATATTATGTAACATTATTTTTCGAAGTGAATAAATTCTAAAAGCAAAAAGAAAAACAAAACTAATACGTATCTATTTATTGAATAGGAATTCCAAGACGCAGCTATGGCTCAAGCTATAATAACAGGCCAACCACGATTACTATTAGGAGCAACAGTAGCTGCTGAGGAAGATATTGTTGCAAACGGTTATGAAATAGAGAAAATAACAAAGTAAAAAAAAAATTTAAATTGTAAACTTCTTTAATCGTTTTTGTTTTTAGAGTTTTAGATTTTCTAAATATTATGACCTAGTAAGACTATTTTGTTTATCAGATAACTACGAGATTGATGAGTATTTTAGTGACTTTCATGGTGCATGGCAAAATTATACAGGACTTAATGCACCATTATATAGACGTTTTGATGAACTTGATGCAGATGCAATGCTTAATCAAGTATTTTTATTTAAAATTTTTTTTTGTTTGTTTTTATTTAAAAGATTTTAATAGGATTTTGGTGTTGCTATATGGTTAAAAAATGGTGCACCTGCTTATAAACTTGTTCTTGGTGTTCCATTATTTGCGCGAAGTTTCTTATTAGCACGACCTGATCAAAATGAACTTCATTCACCAACAATTGGAAATGGTACTAGCGGTCCATTTACACGTAGTGCTGGTTTTCTTTCATATTTTGAAGTAAAAAAAAAGTTTTTGTAAATCATATGTATATGTTTATTTTATTTGATGTATTAGATTTGTTTGTTACAAATGGATTCTAATTGGCAAAAACGTACTGTACCAGATGGTTCCGAATCTGAATATATGTTTAAAGATCGTGAATGGATATCATATGAAACATTGGATAATATTCGAAAACGAGCTGCTTATGTTGTTGCTAATAATTTAGGAGGAATGTTTGTTTGGTCTCGTATGTTTCTTTTTTCTGAAATTTAATGTCATTCTTTGTTTGATGTTGTTTTCTTCTTACTTTAGTTGATATGGATGATTTTAATGGAGCATTCTGTAATAATGGTACATATCCATTTATAAAAAATTCGTTAGCACTTTTACCAACAAATATGCCATCGTATATTTAAAGTTGTAAATAATAGACTAAAGAAAATGTTTAATAAAATGTACTTTTTAACTAAAAATAAATATCTATCTATGAATTAAATATAGAAAAATTACATAATTAGAGATTAATATTCAATCGTCAACAAAAGTTTTTGTACGATTTTGTGTTAAGTGTAACTTAATTAAAAAGCTGACTCTTTGACATGCAATTCCTGTCAATAGTACAATCAATGTTTGTAGTATATTTGCACGAAAACTCAACTTACAAGCGAACTTTTCTAAGTGTCGAATCCTTTATAAGTCGGAATTATATGCATCATGTAAGTTTTAATGAGCTACGAATACACTGAAAAGAGTTTGGGTTAATAGCTTATTATTGTCGAGGTACTATACTTTTTAAAAGAATGCCATAGTCCCTCTGAGAAAGACTAAAAAACTGAAGTTCGAGTTGAAACTTTGCACAGAGACGGGCCTTAATGACAACATGTTATTCTGAAAGTTTCAGATTTATCGATTGCACCTATCCTAAAATAAGAGCATTGAAACTTACCGTTGTTTATGAGTGACATGAAAAACTTATCTTTTTTATAACCGCATCTTAGCATAGAATCAATTAAAAATTCTGAAACTTGTACAATAAATTATTGAAAAAAACGAAACAATACTCTTTTCTCTTGATTACGTTTATTTCTTTGAGCAATACAAAAATCAATTACGATTTCTTTTTCACATATTCAGAGTAATTTCTACATAATTTAGTATGTAAATGATTTACAGATAGTGAATATTCTACTATTTTAAGTGCTCGTTCAAGAAAGGTTATTGCGTTCGAATATTCATCCATGCTGTCATACAAGGTGTCAATATGATTGTAAGAAGCAGTCAAATTAGGATGATTTGAAGGAAGACTCTTTTGACGGCTTTCTACTGCTTTTAGATGAGATGATGGTTTATTCGAGTAGTTACCCATTTTAGAATTAGAGATCTATGGAATCGCATTTTTTTTTACTTCGATGCCGACTTCAACTTCGATGGAATTATGTCTCGGAACCCAGTGCAGGTCTCAAGTTGGTATACATTAAACCAATGTTGCTGCAAGTGGTCTAATGAGGGTGATTTGAAGGAAGAAGTTTTCGATTGGTTTCTACTGCTTTTTGATAATATAAAAGTGCATTCGAAGAATCACCCAAGTTTAAATATACTGTACTAATGGTGCTGTAGGATTGAGCCAAATCAGGATGATTCGAAGGAAAAATTTTTTGGTAGATTTCCAATGCTTTTTGTTGGTATGAAAGTGCATTCGAATAGTCATCCATGTTGTAATACACTACACCAATGTTGTTGTAAGTAGTAGCCAAATGAGGATGATCTGAAGGAAGAGTTTTTTGGTAGATTTCCAGTGCCTTTCGATAATATAAAAGTGAATTCATGTAGTCACTCATCTTTTCATAAACCGAACCATGACAAATGTAACAAGTAGCCAAATCAGGATGATTTGGAGGAAGAGTTTTTTGGTAGATTTCCAACGCTTTTTGATGATATGAAATTGAACTGGAATAATCACCCATTTTGTAGCACACCGAACCATAACAAATGTAAGAAGTGGCCAAATCAGGATGATTGGAAGGAAGAACTTTTTGACGGATTTGTACTGCTTTTTGATAATATGAAAGTGCATTCGAATAGTCACCCATGTTATCGTACACCAAACCAATGTTGTTGTAGGAAGTAGCCAATTCTGGACGATTTGAAGGAAGATTTTTTCGATAGATTTTCATTGCTATTTGATAATGTGAAAGTGCATTATAATAATCACCCACCATGTAATGCACGATACCAATGGCGTTGTAACAGTCTGCTACGTCAGGGTGTTGTGATGAAAGATTATTTTGGCGAGTTTTCAGCGATTTTCCATAAAATGTAAGTGCGCTTGCATATTCTCCGAGATAACACTTGATCACTCCGAGCTGATAAAATATATTTCCTCTCTCATCATTATCCATTCTTCGAGCAAGCAATGTTTCGTATAAATCTTCAGCTTCGTTATATTGTGCTAGTTTTACCATCAATTTCCCTAGTCGAAGCCATCCTGTCGATTCCTCGGTCTCTTCTCGCATTCGTTCAGTAAGCGCATATAAATCCGGGTCATTATCACTGGTCAACGTTAAATCGACTTGCCAAAGACGATTATTTCTGTCGATTTGTTTCATTGGTCCAATACGAAAAGTGGAATGCATGGAGAAGAGAATTTCTTCTTCTCCTTTGAAGTAACTGACATCACGAATACCAGCAAATGGTGTTGAGAGGATGGATGGATCAATTCTCATGATGAATAAAATGCCAACGAGATCGGATGATGCAATAGTTTGATGAACAAAGTTGAGAGATACTTGCCGTTTCTTACTGGTCGACAAGAAGCTATTGAATGATAAAAGTCCACCTTTGGTTTTGATCAATTGATTAAATTCAGTCTCCGACAATCCTTGACCACGATAAACAGTGAATGAATTCGAAGGTGATTGTCCGACAAACTGTTGACCATGAAGCTTCTCGATGTGGTTATGGAGATCACGAATAAAAAAGCCCATTGTTATAATGAGATCGACTTCCATCATTCGTAATGATCGATTGAGCATCGAGTAAAGAAAAGATGGGTAGGTATACCACCAAATCGGAAGATGCTTGTAGTATTCTTGTTCAAGTTTGTTGACATGATCAAGTTCATTCGGCTTGTCGATGAAAATATCGCGGCAATATGTGAGAAATTGATCGATATGATGTTGTTCGAAAGAAATAGTTAATAGAATTTCTTTCATTATTTGGGTGTACATAAATGAGTAATCTAGTTGGTTGAGGTTCGGCTTGCTGTTTTCACTACGAGTAGGGACAAAATTGATCGAAATCATGTTTTGATCAAATCCTACTGCTGCTTGTTGAAGATTTCTACAGATCGGAGCAATATCTGTAAAGGCACCTTTTATTTTTGGCCACTGTGTAATCCATTGTTCATACCAAGCTTGATTTTCACAAAAAATATAAATTGTGCTGATCTGAGGCATGTCATGTATGATGGGACTTGTAATTTGGCCCAGTGCACCAGAAGCAATCATAAATATTCTCTCTTCTTGAACATCAGTTATAAAATCGATGCATTCATCGATATCTGTGAAGATATTGATCTCATTGACTGTTTCTTTCAATGCTGAAACTGTATGCTTGCAGCTGTTGTTGTTTTCTAGATCGATATTGCTGTCTAGCCAGATGACCAAAAAACTTTGAACCATACGAGTATGTAGAGGTCGTCGTGGCTTTATGCTCATAAGTTGAGATACTTTGTCAGCAGGAGCTGCTGTTGTCGGCTTTTTCTGTTTATCCATGATGTGCGTTGAATTTGATCAATGAAAAAATTAGAGTGAAAGGACTTGAATTTATATAGTACGTTGGTATTTTTTCTAGATATTTATATTTTTTTCAAAGGGTGTTAACGCTTGACTTTTTTTCTGTTTCCTTTTACTTAAGTTCTTCACTCCTCTTTTTTTCTATGATTGTCTATAGTATTACAAGCCAATGACCAAGCGAAAAAATGATTCATTGCAACATGATGACGTACATTATGACGCATTTTACTTCTTATTTACGATGTCTGGAAATTTCCTCTTTCTTTCTTGTGATATTGCTGTAAATGAAAGTGGCAGTAGAAAGAGAAATAGAACAGTACACATTATTGTTTGAGAAAGTATGACCAACCCTTATTTCAGTAAATCTTTGCTATTCAATTGAGAGTTCGATACTACATGAAGCCAATTGAAGTATAGGTAGAAATTTGTTGTTTTTAAGATTCTTTTCAAATGAAAAATCAATCAATTCTAAGATAGAAGTCAAAAAGTATTTTTTGCATCCTTGTTCTGACTCTACCGCTAAGGAAAAATTAAATGAAACTTATATCATTAATTTGTCTTAAAAACAACACATAACATTTATAATATTTTTCTATAGGTACTTGATTGTATCATTGTAATTTATATCGGGGTTCAAAATTAATTCATTTGGTATTCATTCTCAGACACAAATTGTACTCATTGTTTATAAGTTTATGAAAGTTTCGAATTGGTCGAAATGTTAAATATAGCGGAAATACGTAGTTTAATGTTGTACACAATAGAACGCTGAGCTTAAGGCACATTTAGTGATATACACCAAAAAATCAGTTATTAGGAATTAAACTAGATCCTGTACTAATTGAAAACTAATATATATTATATCGAGAACTCATGAAATTTATAGTACTCTTGCGCAGGAGAACTCTTGACTAAGTTTCCATAAGTCTTCATTTTCTTGGATTTCAAATTCGTTTTGATTCTCTATCTCTGAGAGAAATAGAATACAGATGAGTGTGGGTGTGGGTGTCGTATTTCTTTACAACCACACTCACCCACACCCTACAAAAAAAATGCAATAAATAATTAAATTGAAAGAATAAAATATTAAGTTATTTATTCATATAATTATTCTTTTTATAAGAAGGAATAAGACTAATAGTGGTTTTTTCGTTGGAGGCAAGAACAATACCAACACGAGCATAAGAAATCTCACCGTTCATCAAAACTTTGTCAGATCCAACATAAACTCAATCACGTAAAACGTTTTCCATTACGTCAAATCGATTACAATAACATTCGATCTGATTTACACCTAAAAATAATCTTCTCATATGCTCTACACGAATATACATCACTTTTATGACAGTTTCATTACTTAAATTTTTTTAGACTTTACCAAAATGTATTCTGAACTACAATTACTTTTTGAGCCTTTCTTTAAATGAAACAGCGCTGAATGTCTAATAAATTGAGACACTCAAAAAACCATAATAAAGAGTATTATTCATGTTAGTAATTTCAATCTCTGTGTGTTGAAAAAACCAATATCTGAAATAGACATACCGCTATCACTCAAAGAGAATAATATGTATGTTCGCTTTACATCTATTTGTATAATTTGTATCTCAGCATACTTACAAAATTTTATATTCATTTATCAAATCATGTGTTATTATGTCAATAAGTACTTGACGATTGGTATAATGTGATCTGAATTTGTATAGTGCACCTGATTCTATGTCTTGAAGTAAAGCATTTGGTAAAGCTGGGACCGTATATTCATGGGAAAAAAAGGTAATTCGATTCTTCTTTAATTGCTGCTTCTTCTAATAGCCGATCATTCATACAACCACTGTCGAAAGACAAATTACTTGTTTCACAGGAGAAGAAGACAAACTAGAGTTTGTTGAAGCAATTGATGATACATTAATACTTGAAATCGAATTTTCATGTTAAAATTTGAATAATTTCTGTCGTTCTTTTAAGAACGAAAGTTGCTGCTTTAACTTTGAAAATAAAGCTGTGTTTTTTTCGATGCTGTCGATCATTAAAAGAGTTTCACCATCAATTTCATGTTCTCCAAAAGAAACAGATAAGTACTGAAGAAAGTAATGAAAGTTTTAAGATTTTCAAATTGCTTTGAAAACCTGAAACTTAGTCATTTGCAAAGTGAGAAATAGTTTTCTCTTTTTTTTAATATCATCTTAACATAAAAAAACTAAGCAAAAAAGAAACAGATTCATATGAGAAAATTGCCACTAAAGATTTTAGATGCATATTGTTTCTAAGTTCCAATCCAAAGTAAATTTGTTTGCTTCTTTGATGACGGAAGTCGCTCGATTTTTTTTTCATTTAATATGCATACAACATATACTAAAAATTTCTTATGCATATTACGAGATATTACGAAAGATCGCATTTGATCTAAAACAGAAACTTACTGTTATCTTCCATCCACAAAATCCACTACCGAAGCAGACAAAAATTTCTGACGTGTTGCAATGCCCTAATTGTCTTTTCTATTTGAGCATTTCACGTCCATTCAGAAGACACCAAAATCAGATACTTTCATCATAAAATATTCATGAAGACTCTAACAAAAGTGAATATTTTGATCTGGAACACACTTAACAACTTTTCTCTTTAATATTTTGATGTGCTTTGTGCACAAAAGGAACTTGTTATGCTCCATGAATGTCAAAAATATTGTGAGAAAACTCTTGAGTGGTTTACAAATATGAAGATTGGGTGTGGGTGTGAATATTTATTTCACTCACACCCACATCCACACCATAAAGTCATCTACCCTTCAGGAGAGAATAATAAACCCTTTCACTCAAACCGTAGAGATGATCTACCCTTCAAGATAAAATAATAAATCCCTTCTCTCTAATCGTAGAATAATAAACCCCTCTCCCTAAATTCCATTCTACTAAACTCTTTTTCAGTGGTCATCGACACTTTTGATTTTCATATACCCTTACTTTTATAAATGCTTCGCTTCATAAACCCTTTAGAGGTTTATGAAAAATGGTATATAGAGTAATGGTTTATTATTCTACGCTTTTCTTTACAGTGTAGCGCGATATAGAGGTGATTTAATCTTTATGTTGAATAGCTAATGAAATTAATCAATTATATGGGACTACTATAGTGTTGCTCTCATTCTACTATGGACATCGCTTGCGGGTGGGTGTGGGTGTGGATGAAGAGAAGACCCACACCAACCCCCGCCACACACTCACATCCACTACGTACCCACACCCACCCACTCCCCACCCACATCTCACACCCCACCCCACACCCATCCACACCCACATCCCACACCCACACCCACACCACACTCACACCCCACACCCACACAC